ATATATGTATATATATTTATATTTATATAAAAAGACTAATAATAGCAATATGTTATGCATCGATAGCAGCAACAGCTTTTCCAGGTTCTGCAATCATCTGAACAAAAATATAGACCTTCAGCACATTCCATTAAAAAAAACAAAAAAAAACAAAGAAAAGAATAATATCCAGAAAACAGCAAAGTTCTGTTGCTGTTGTGGTACCTGACACCTTTTTTTTTATTAGCATCTTAATCATTATCTGGAAAGAGAAAATTCTAGAGTAATATCATTAAATGTAGCTCTGATAAAGCACGGTCCCTACTATGTATCATAAAGCAGGTACAAGATAATTTACATTCACAGAGGTATGTTACAGTACCGTCCTACATCAATAATACTAGAATCCGTTTTGGTTTGAAATTTACTTTGTCTGCAAATAACATTGCTACCCCTGTTTTTTTCTGGGCTCCTGTCACATGGAGAATTGTTTTCTATCTTTTCACTTTCAGTCTATGGGCTTCTTTTTGCACTAGGTGTGTTTCTTGTATACAACATATTGTTGGGTTTTGCTTCTTATTCCATTTTGCCAGTCTGTTTCTCTTGATTGGTGAGTTGAGGCCATTGATATTCCTGGTTATAACTGGTATGTACTGACTTATTATTGACATGTTATTGGCCTTTTGTTATGCTGGGCCTTCATGGCTTCTATCATGGTCCTGAGCTCATCTATTTTTTTGTCAGTTTCTTCTCTAGAGTCTCGAATCATGACTTCCATTTTGCTCACTATCTCTATGGTTATCTGGGAAATTATTTCTGTTTTGAATTTTTCTAGAGCCTGATTGATCTGTTTTGTTACTTCCTGTGCTTTGAGTTCAGGGTGTCCTGGTGGTTCACTATCGGCCTTTTTGTCCTCATTTGCCCTACTGTTTGCTATTGGTGAACTGGAAGTCTGTCCTTGTGTCTTGCTTAAGTGTTTTCTCATTTTTATTTTTGTTGTTGGACTGTCCTTGGTTTAATCTCTGGATTATTACCCAAATCTCCATGATATAGTTGCGCCCTAGCTTCTGTGTCTCTAATGACCCACAGACATTCTCATCTTCATAACATCAGAGAAAACAGCTCATCAAATCAATGGCAATGCTTTACCCCAACTGATACAATCAGCAACACATTAAGATCAAGCACAACTTTGACACTGACCACCAGTGGTAGTCACTAGTCTATCACCCTTAAATCATTTGAATTAAATTGAAATCAAGAAGCAGTCCAGAACATGTCTGCAGTGAACTAAATTTTAATATAGTGTATTTACCATTTAATGGCTCAGACAGAGCGAGGATGCAAGACCCCTGATCTCAGTTAGCTGATGGCTGAACCCCCTGATGCTGACTGACCTCAAGCTGCAAGACCCAGAATGAGTTCCCCAACCTTCTGAGTGGTTGAACTCCACATGTTCTATTACAGGTTTCCCACGCCCTTTCTTTAAAGATGTTCAAAGTTGGGAACTCAGAAAAATACCCTTGATGACCACCTCTGCCTCTGCAGAGTGGGTCCAAAGACTGGCACAGTCAGGAGGTCTGAGAGTGCGTGAGGGGTTGGGGGGGTATAAGGGGAGTTATGGGGGTTCAGGGGCGCCTGCACCGCTACCTTCCTGGCACTGGAGTGATGGCAGCTGGGGCAGAAGAAGGCGTGGCTCTCCTTCCCACGGTGGATCGGGGCCCAGGCTACCTCCTGGCACTGGAGTGATGGCGGCTGGGGCAGGAGAAAGCCTGGCTCTCCTTCCCACCGTGGATCGGGGCCCAGAGTACCTCCCAGCAATGGAGCGATGGCCTAGTGGTAGAGATTTGGCTGGCATGTGGGAGGCCTTGGGTTCAATCACCAGCACCAAAGAGAAAGAAAAAGAAAATGGGTTATCTATTTCAAATATCATTAAATTAATTCTTTGAAAAATTCAAATAGCAGTGACAGAGAAGTTCAAAATAGCCTACAGTAGAAATGATTCACGTCATCACCCAGTGTCCCCATTTGACAGTTTCATTTCTTTTCTTTCTTTCTTTCTTTTAAATTTTAAGACAAGGTCTCCCTATGTAATTCTGGCTTACCTCCAACTCTCGGACATCCTCCTCCTTCAGTGTCTCAAGTGCTGGGATCACAAGTATGCACCACCACACCAGGCTTAACAGTGTCTTATAGAAACATAGAAGTGTTATGTGTTCACAGCCCCTTTTCATACCAACGGTAGCATACCACACATACTGCTGTACACTTATAGTGGTGCTCCAGTTCACAAATGCTTTTGTTAGCAAATAGTTTGGTTAAAAAAGTTTGGCAAAATTGTGTTTTCTGTATTGGGTGACAAACACAGCCGTGGCCATCTTTTCCATATGAACACACACATGGCCATCTTTTCCAAAATCGAGGAACAAATTAAGTTCATGAACTTATTTTTAAGTTATTTTCACTGTTTTTTTAACTCAAATACGAGATTTTGGAGATGGTCCCATGACGATGAGTCCTTTCTCTCAGCCAGGTGTCAGAGTGGTTCCAGCCTTTCTCCTCTGGGCGGTGTTGCGATGCCCAGCCTTGAACTCACATACATCCTTCCACACACACTTGGGTACCACATGGTAAGAAGGCTTTCTAGCACTGGAATGACTGGGTTGAACATCTCTGTATCTTGGGAGGTGATATTGAGATCATTGTTGCTGAATTACTCATCTACAAGGAGATCTGATCAGGGGGCCGTGTTTTCTGGTAATGACACCTCACTGCCTCGAAGGGTGGCTGTGAGATGTCCCCAAAATGCCCTTCTGGATGGGAAGGAAGCCCATCTTCAGCAGGTATGTGCCCTTTGCCCACTGCAGCAGGTGATCTGAAATATGGTATGGGGGTGCAGCTGGTTCCCTACCCTCACAAAGAGGCACTGCATATGCAGTCAGGACAACAGAGGACCGGGTAGCTGGCCTGTCTACTTTGGGGGAGAAGGCAGCAGGGTGAAGCCTGCGCTGCACTGTGGTTTTCTTTTGGGATCAGGCTGCGACACAGTGTGTCCTTGGGAACGAGTGCAGGCACTCGCCTCCATGTCAGAGCCTGATCTCAAGCACAGTCTTAATCATTTGAGATGAGCACACAACACAGTGCAGGAGGGAAGGAAGCACATTCCCGTGACACTTGTCTGAACTCAGGCAGCAGCACTTCAGAGGGCCAGGTCCTGGGCTGAGCGCCGGGTAGCACCAGCAGCCCCTACGGGTATCTAGAGCCCCCTTGACCACCCTGCAAACCCCGGCCAAGACCCCAGGTCTATCTGCTTCCAAGGCTGACGTGGTGGCTACCAGGCAGGGCTTGGGCCTTCAGGAAATATTAGTGACCTCTTGGCTGTGGCCTCCGTTCATGTGAAACTCTCCTCAGTTCTCCAGGAATATTTCTCCATCCCTAACCCTGCTGATCAACAAGCCTGGAGGAATAGGGATGAGGGCCTGACCCCTAGTCCCTGGCTGTTCTTGGTACAGGGTCTGGTGTGTTTTTCCTGTTGCTTTGAGTCCTCAAGCCAGGAACTTCTCTTTTCCATATCTTGTGTGTTTTGTTTGTTTCTTCTGTTGTTTGTTTTACTCATTAGGGGGAAAAGGTGCTATAAATCCCTGTCACTTTCTGGACGTCAGCATGCAGTGTGTATGAGAAGCATTTTACATCTGTGTTCTGACCAGTCAGCCTCTCCTCCTCTGAAATTGTAACATTAACATTAGTTATGTGTAATTTTCCATTTACGCGCTTATGATCCTTTGTTAGCTTATTCAGCGCTTATGATCCCCACCTCTTGAGCAACTTGAGAACGGATTTCCACCCACCACTTTTTTCCTTTTTTGGT